GGAACCCAGAAATGCTTCCCTGCCCTATCCCACCCACACCACCCTTCCCCTAACTTGACCAGAAATGTTTTCCTCCTACTTCGTAGGATCTCATTTTCCAGTTCTGAGATCCCAAGGGAAACAGGCAGCATCCTAACTGACTCCTGCCTAACCTGGCCAACGCTGATTTAGGAAAATGCTGGGAAAGAGAGCACTGCTTCCAAGCTCAGTATGTTGCCATTCTTCTAAGTACCCAGCAAGAACACTTGCTGAGAGACATTTCCAGCAGAAATACAAGACTGTTTCTTCAGAAACTGGCAAAAATACTGCTGTTTAAAACCACACACTCTTATAAATAGCTGTCTCCAGCACACACTACTCACAAGCACCACATTTACTCTACAAACCATTGCACACCCATACTGAAACTGTCAAACTGTATGGGATCAGCTGACTGTAGCCTACTGACCTGAGTTACCAAGGTTAACACCATACACTGCAGAAAAAAATACAAGAAAATATAAGAGATACTTACAAATAAGTAATAAGAAACCACCAGGTGCTTTTTTCCTAATCCTGACAGTGACTGCTATATTTAAACGTTTTAATTCAGGTAGATTTTACTGAATGCAACCGGGGAACATTTTCACTACCCATATGGAAGTTTGATTTTTTTTTTATTTTTTTTAATCTTGAAAAGCTTCCCTGATAGCACACAGAAATGTTTCTACATAGTCTGATAATTTTAGATAAATTACCAATCTATCTGGGTTACGAACATGAACTATCAGAGATATCCCTAAGTACCCAGGAATAGCTCCCTCGGTCTTAAAATGCAAGAACACTTACTGAATTTATATACCTTAAAGCATATCTTTAACTGCACAAGAATGTACTCCATTGTCTCTGTCTTCTTTTAAAGTGACTCTAATCTTTATAATCATGCCTGAAATGTAGCCTTGCCATGGCTATAATCTCAATTATGCATACATTTGATATTTTTTCTGTGCTATTTGCAATAAGATCAGTGCCATAACAAGGCCTGCACAAAAAAGGTATCTACCTTAAGCACTTCTCTGAGAACTTCCAAAGAGGAAGCAAGTATGCTGGAGCCCTAAGCTACTGCTGGCCAGGAAAGCGGCTGCAGCTCCATGGTAGCAGATGAATTGGCTGCTACCAGAAAGAGCCAAACTGGATGGTGAAAGGCATGTCTCATGTGCTAAAGCAGCCCAGATAAGATGAGGAAATCTAATTCAATACAGTGAATTACTGTCCTTTTTCCTCATTTGCATACGTGTATATTTCTAATCTAATTTCTTCTAATGTAAACAATTTAAAAGAGGTTTATTTTATTAATATTTTATTGACAAGAAGTGGGAATTATGTGATAGGAAAATGGTACGTAAGCAATGATTGCTCTGCAGTAGTACCATAAATATACTCTTTGATCAAGAGTTTTAAAAGACATTTTACTAATAATAATAATAAAAACAACCCTAAACTTAGCATAAAATAAACCAGTTGGACTGGAAACATGACAAAAAATCCAATTTGTTTGCCTCAAAGATTAGAGCAACAGGAAAGTATATGTAAGAAAAAAAAAAGGTAAAGTAAACATGGGACTTCCACTGAAATCCCCAGGAACAAAGAAACAGACATTTGATTAACTGGCAAACACAAACATTTTTTCACTCCTCACACAATTAACCTCCAGAAGATATTCCTGTAGATTCTATCATACTGAAAAGACTAGAAACTTAACAAGGTTTAAAAACCAGCAATTACTAGACTGAAGACAGTTATTCAAGATTTCAGTTGTCACATATTATTAAACAAAGCTAGTTCATCGAACAAAAAGAGAATACACTGTAATTCTGGGGTATAATCCATACAGTTAGGTGAAATTTTACCAAGGAAAAAGTACTCATCATTGATTAGCCATGGGGTTTATTTGCATGTTTTTACAGCCATACTACGTTAGCTATTTTTTTTTTTACCATAATGCAGACATTTAGACTGCTAGGTTGATTTAGTACAATAATATCTGTCAGCTTAAGAACTGAATACATACAGAAGAAATGTCTTGTTTTTGTCAAATGTGAAGGCAAAAAAAAAAAAGGTATCTGTCTTCAGAATTTCTTCATTATGTACTCATCACTAAAGCAGCATACCTTTCCTGTTTAAGCGCATATTCCAGCATTTTGATTCTTCGCACCAGATCCTTCTTCAGATTTTCTTGCCCTTTCCTTTCACCTTGAAGAAAGGCGATCTGGGCCTGCAAAAGGAAGCATTCAATTAGAATCTGCTTCATCAAAACCATGCAGCATAGCTCTTAAGTGTGTGTGTCTCCCCCAAGCTAATTTAAAATTGATTTGTACAGTTCAAAAGAAATTGGCTTTCTATGTTTCATAAACATTAAATGCTTAGACAAAACACTGCACAGATAAGCCTTCTAAACTGCATGCTCATTAGAGATTTTAAAAAAAAAAAAAGATAAGAAATAAAGCAATTTTAGTTTGTTTGACAGGGTTCACTTCCTCTCCTGGCTAAACATTCAATAAAGGATAAGGCACAGATAAAATAAGCATACAAAAAGCCTTCAGCAGATAGAAGCATTTACCAACAATAAGCAGGAGAAGATGATAAAGTATTTCTGCTCACTAACTGAAGTAGTGTATAATTAGTGTACTGTTCTATAGATACATGTCAGATATATGATACTAGTCAAAGAACTGAAGTACAGCATGTTCAGCTAGAAGAAAAATAACACTGTTTGCAATACAGCTCCAAGTGTTAATTATAATACTTACTAAAATAGGCTAAAGAAAGCTCTCCTAAAATACTGTAATTAAGAGAGAGAAAAAATGGAAAACAGAGAAAGGTATTTTGGTGGGGGAGACAAAGAGAGAAATGGTATACAAGTCAAATGGAAAACAGACACCTAACCTTTATTAACTTCCACCAGAGTATTTAGTTGCCTGCAAAAAATCTCATTTAAATAGAAAATTATGATATATACAAGATATTCATTCCTAATCATAAAGGCAGAACTACCTGCTTTTGTACCTCATGCTCAAAGCAAGTCCATTATAAGAGGCAGGTTCTTGTGCTCTCTCAACTCATGAATACACTCTTAGACAAAGATACCTACAGGCAGTCACCACTTCACGCCTCGACCTCACCTGCACTGCAAGCCACCTGCCATTCTCAGGATCAGAAGCTCTCTGCCACCTTCGCAGCTAAGTCTCCAAGTATTTCACCTGTCTCTTGAGGAGCACAAACAGGATAAAAGGCAACTGGTCTAGACCATCAGCTGTGGAATGTGAAGAGCAGTAAGCCTTTCATTTATATAAACACCTACTGCAGTCTGCACCAATCTCTAGGTAAAGCAAAGGAGAAATGGGCAGCAGTATCCTCTCCTCACCTGCCACAACCTTGCAAGCAGCCCCCAGGTATTTTAGTTAATGGAGACAGACACTTCTAAAGAATAACTTATCTGACTTCAGATTTTTATCCCAAAGCGAGCAGAACAGCATCTGTAAATGCCACTTTCTCTCCAGCAATGATAAAGGGAATGCACACAACTCAGCTGAATTTTGGAGATAAGGTAAGATTAATCTTACTCCAAAAGGCCATTTGCTGGTGGCCAGCTAGAGCAGCTGCTCTAAAATATGACACCAGCTGACATAATTTCATTGCTCAAGTACAGCCAGTAAACAGCTTGACAGACACCTGAAGCTTAACCACCAGTCACCAACTAGTGCAGCCAGTTTATGACGAGTGAAAAACACTGGCTGCTCTCCAACAAAGCCAGTCTTTGCCTTCACTGGGGGAAATGTATTTGACTGCCAAAAAAACCTCAGCTGAATCAAAGGAAAGGCCTCTGTCACTCTGGCATTGAGCTCCTCCTCAATACTCAAATCAGGTGAACAAAAAACTACAATCGAATTCTGACATTTGTTTTATGCTCAGGTTTATGGAAAGACACAGAAAAAAGAAATGTTGACTTTGGAGTCAGCATTTCCTACCCTGAAGACTGTAACTGTGCAAGAAGCACGTCAACTCAACCAGGTCCCGATCTCTCTCAGTAACAAGAGGAGCACCTCAAGCATGTACAACTCGGTTTGCAGTAACTGCACAGACTCACAGATGACAATGCATATACTAGTGCCCTGTGATAGTGATTTCTCTCTCCCTGCCTCCAAACAGGTCCTTCTAGGCAAAAAGTGAGGGAACATCAAAGCACACTATTAAAAATAGTAGCACATGATGTAAATATGCATTTGGTTGGAATAAAAAAGATCATCCAATGCCATCAGGAGACAAGCTGACGTGATCTATGATGTGACCTGCTATCTGCAAGCAATTTCTAGCTTCCGTGACTTCTCTGACTAACCATTTGAGAACCAAAATTCCAAACTGTTACCAGAAGCTTCTTAAGCACCTAAAATAACATAAATAACGTTCCTAACTCTACCTCTGGAGCATCTACATGTTACAATTCAACATGAAGGAAAAGGATTGTGCTCTCCCCTTGGGGCCACTGGCAGGCTGTACGTATTATACACACATTGAACAAGAAGAAAGAGCACTGAAAGAAACATTGATTCTTTGGACATCTCTTATTATCAGCGGTATGCCAATGCTCTTAATGATGCCTTACAACTTTTCTTTTTCCTGTACTTCCAATAAATCCTTGTGTTTCTTACTCAAAAAGCATGCAGCAACAGCCGAGTGGAATTCACAGCCCAAGAGCCATCTCTCCAGCCCTACACATGCTTATGGCCAGGATCTTTCAGGTTACTATATACTTTACAGATCGGTAGTTTTACTGGCAAATCAAGAAACAGACAAGTGCACCAGAGGGCTTGAGAATAATTTTGCTCTCTCCTTGGAGGCTGTGCAGTTTCTAGCATACTGTGTTCGTGTTTTTCTTCTGAGTAGCATGCTCATGTCCAATACTCATTATTTTTGAGAAATTCTGGCTCTGAAAATGAGAATGCTTACATTTGGTCATTTTCATAATATATTAAAAGTAAGGAGAATACACCTGCTCCTTCCCACAGGAAGTTAGCAACCCTCATCCTTCATTTACATACCCACTGGATAATTACAATTAAGTCAACCTCAGTGGACAACAAAAGATCAGTAATATATGTACGCTCAAATTTTGTTTAAGAAATTATTAATGATAATATTCAGGTTTATTTGTAATGCACATAAGGAGAGCATTAAAATAATAACTGAAGTTTTATACTAACAAGAACACTGTAACAGTCCATATGTCATAAGCAGATTTCATTCTTTACAATGTTTGGCGATTAATCGAAAATATGCAGAGGAACCTAAAGGTTCATACCATACATGAAACAATTTTTAGTATAAATGAAAACTGAATGAGTGCAATGCAATTAAATATCTAAAATGACAGATGATGAGATCTAGCAGCATTTTCTCAGTTTCTAGAACAAAACAGTAATAACTCTAGGATCACCATTTCTGATCAAACTACTTAGCTAACACCTGTCTAAAAGTCTGTGCAAACATTTAAAGTGTAAGAGCTCTGGCTTTAAACACAATGAAAAGCTTAACTGAACTGTAGAGCTACAACTTTGTTGTAATTTAGACGTAAATGACAGAATTTTATCAATACATTGAGACTCTACAGGCCATCTCCCATGGTTGCAGCTTTAGCACAAGTCAACCCTGAAGCCTGCGCTGCCTGAAGGAGCGGGACAGCAAAGGAGGATCCTTCCACTCTGAATGATCTGCAACACTGTTCTACGCTTGTGCTTTGGCCACTCCTGGGAAGGTTTGCCAAAAATTTGAAGAATTCACAAACATGCCCAACAAACAGGTTCTGCGACAACTGACCTTCTAGCTAGTAAGGTTAAAATGCATCAAGTTGTAAGCTAGTCATCACAAACCTCTAAAACGCCTACGGGGATCACGCCAAAACTCGTGGTGTTCCTTGCCTTATGGGTGGGGCGCATCATCCCCATCCAGCACCAGGCTGCGCTGGCTCTGCAGCGAGGAATCAAGGCAGCGTCTGCCTCATGCCTATTCCAGGCCAAGTGCTACAAGTCGCTGTATTACAGCCCAAGGGTTAAACTGAAATCAGGTGAGTGAGAAGGGGAAAAAAAAAAACCAAACCAGAGAACATTGGTAAGAGAGAGATTGCCTGGAACAGCCTATTTCATCTACAATTGTACCGTTCAGCATTTTTTTTGCACTTTATCTCATTAATGTTTTCAATATTACCAACTGCAACAAAATGTAGAAGTTTCACAAGCATCCAGTCTAAATTAACAGCACTGTTGCCATCTTAACTATTCCACTTCTTTACCAAGAGATTTCAAAAATAAAATTCATTCTTATATTTTAAAAAAAATCACCTCATGTGCAACAACATTGTTTTAAGAAATTCCTCAACAGACTCTTAAGTTTGCATTACTGCAAAGTGGACAAAAGGGTGAGGAAATGTTTTAGGTAGCACCGGGTTAGAAACAAAGTTTTTAAAATGTTGTTGACTTCCTAACTCAGGCTCAGCAGCCATAACAACATAATCAAATGATTATATTGCAACTTAACAAATCTGGATATTTATCAATGTTTAAAAAAGTAAAGTGAAATTTACACTTCCTGGAATCAGCAATCATGACAAGGATGTTAAAAAGTATTGTATCTGCACACCTTTTTAGGCTGACACCTTAACATTGCAGAAAAGCAAGAGATTAAACAACATTTACCTTTAACAGAAAATGTTTAAAAAGAAACAATACTATGGCTGCTAAACAAATGAGGCATGCTTAGTATCAACTTATATCAGTTCCTGAATTTTACAGCTATTTCAAGTTAAAAGGTGATTTTTTTTTTCTAATTAAGAACTATAAAAAAGCCTTTCCATTCTTTTATTTAAAATATTTATCTTAATATTTTAAAGTAAACCTCGCTTCAAATTTATGGGCGCTTGAAGGTCAACAGGCATCATTTGACAAAGCAAGAGCTACTAAGACACGCAACTCTGTATATACTGCTTCCATAATTCAACAACAAGGTCTTCACAGGTTGAGAGCAAGAGAATAAGGGAGGGGAAAAAACTGCAAGAAAAGGTAGCTAGCTAAAATAACTAAATACATATATACAGATCAATCAGCCTCGAACAGTCATTCTAACTGGTCTACCAAGATCTGCCAGAAGGAATCTGCAGGCTGCCAGGGTGCTCAGTGTTTTAGATTATGGCTGTCTCACTGAAGTGCTACCTATTTAAGAATA